TTTAACCTGAGGTATGTGCAGTTTAACCTGAGGTATGTGCAGTTTAAACTGAGGTATGTGCAGTTTAACCTGAGGTATGTGCAGTTTAACCTGAGGTATGTGCAGTTTAGTTTAAACTGAGGTATGTGCAGTTTAAACTGAGGTATGTGCAGTTTAAACTGAGGTATGTGCAGTTTAGTTTAACCTGAGGTATGTGCAGTTTAGTTTAACCTGAGGTATGTGCAGTTTAAGCCTTTATTTTGAAGGAGGAAAACATCCTGAGCTGCTGGCTGTCAAGTAAAAATGAATAAATCTATACTGTCCTATTGAAGCACTTTTTGATGTGTTCTTATTCCTTGTCAGTATTGTGGATACTACGGTGTTTGTTCAGTATTTCCTGTTTGGCTTTTTGTTTACCAGCTATATTGGTATAAATACTTGTCTTGCGTTATTTAGCCTTAAATAGCAGTCGTAGTGTCTTTGATTGAGAACCTTTTTGATCGTATTGTTTTTGAAATACCGATAGTTTACAGAGAGCTTGGAGATGGATATCTGTACAAATAACACTTCTTGTTTTTAGAGTTAGAATTTAAATCGAACTGTTAAACCTTTCAGTAGAATTGGATGAGAGGAAAAGGAGATATCCGTTGGCCACGTTCCTGTGTTCTCGTTGATCTCCTTGAGATCTGAATGACATCAAACTTATTTTTGAAGTTTGCATTTACCCTGTTGTATTAAAAACAAACGTAGAGTTGTCAGACTGTAGTCTCCCCCCCACCACCACATGTTTAGTCTGAATCTGAAGTTCAGTGACAAACTGCCCACGTTTTACAAAGGAAGCGCTGGGTCATATTTACACACCAGTGGATGTTTAACTGTATTTATTGTGTACAAATAAATGTGAAATAAAGATAGCTTCAATGAAACAACGCTCTGCATTCATGTTTCTATTCTGTCTTTTGGTTTTTAATCAAGTAACTAATCAGATAATTTATTTTTATGTAAATCAACTTCCCAACACAAACACATTAATGTCTATTTAAATCAGTTTGCCCTCAAAGTTTTTTTAAATGCACTAGAAGCAGAATCCATTATTGTCCTTCCACCGTTCATGTGAATGAGAACGAAGTTGGAGCCGGGCGGAGGGCTGGGGGGTGTGGCTAAAGAACAACTCTAGTGCGCATGCTCTATGGGCCCCATAATGCGGAAGATCCGGGTCATGTCATTTCGAGTATTTATCCTCGGAAGTCGAACGTTCTTTTGCATCGTGCGCCACCAATTTACAGACCATAATACATCATAATAACTGTATTTAAGTACACCTTTGAGGTACTTATACCTGAGTATTTACATTTGATGCTACGGTATACTTCTACATCTCAGAAGACAATATTAGACTTTTTACTTCACTGCATTTATCTGACAGCTGAAGTTACTTTATAAATTAAGATTTCATCAATAATTATATACAATAATATATATAAAACTTTGACATTGTGTATACTGTAATGGTATTATGTTGGTTCGCAGACGACACATATATGAAGAGTTTATAAAATAAGATGTTTAGTTAAAAACTACCCATCAGTTTAAACAAGTACTGAAACTATAAGTCGATCAATCAACATGTCGATGGACAGAAAATTAATTGGCAGCTATTTTGATGAAAACATTTTTTATTTAAATGCATTTCATGGTTCCAACTTCTTAAATGTGAGTATTTGCTGCTTTTTCTTTTAATATTATTAAACATGTTAAAGTATTTGTGACAAACGTTTTAGACTTTTTTTTACAAACCAATCAATCAATTAATGGAGATAATAAACAGCATACTTAGAAACACAATTCATCTTTACAATATCTAAAATAACAAACATGATGGTAAATTTCTAAAAATATTTACTGAGATTGAAGAGATATATGATGTTACTGACAAATGTCTATTTACAAATAATATAGTTAACTAATCTCATCGAGGTCGACGTAAAGTGAAGCTACAATAGATTTAGTGAGGAGACAAACGAATAAACTGCATACATGGATAAATAATTAGACTTTAAAGCATCTTGAAGAAACTAAAGGTTGGGAATACCTCTGAAAGACACCTCGTAGAGTTAAGAATGAAATAACTGTGATTCAGAGTCGTCTTCATTCTGTTAGAATGTTTAAAAGTGACTCAACACTGACCTCTGCTGGTGGTGCGAGCAGAGCAAAAGGTACTTTTCCTCCACGTGGTTTAGAGATGTACAAAAATAAAAGTTTTCTGGTGAAATGTGACGAAACCCCTGAAGAATAACCCAGATTATATAATCCTGTCTGATCCATTGAAGTGTTATTTAAACTATAATCAAGTCACCGACTCAAACCTGTGAAACATGTCTTTTAAATAACATATAATAATATTAGTTCTGTTAAATAACTACAAAGAAAACAAGGTGGATACAAATTAAACAAACAGTAAATAATTAGAGAAACTGTGCAAATTACAAATGAGTCATGAATGAGTTATAAATTATGAGCAAAGGTGCATTTTACAATATAACAAAAATACTATAAAAACTACAGAAAAGTACTTTGGTGTTACTATGATACAGAGTTTAAGTTTACATGCAAGAAAGTTTAAGTATGTACTTTAACACACTGACAGTAGCAGATACATTTAAAAATCAGTACTTATTTTTGTTATATTTTGCACCCATGGCATTAAATATATTACATTCTGTATAGATTAGCATGTGCTAAAACAGGAGGAGCATTCTGTACAGTACGAATATAGAATAAAAAGTAAAAAAATATATCAATGTGTTGTGATTTACAGTTCTGTGACTTCAAAACAACAACAGAAAGATGAAGAAAACGCTCGATCAACGCTTTATTTTGTTAACACCGGAAGTAGTGTATTCTATTCCGGCTGGCTTGACACTGGTGTGGAAAAAGATGGCTGCTTCGGCGGCAACGGCGAGTTCTTCCCCCGGGTTGTGTCCAAATTACGCAGTGATTTGCTCCTTCCTGGAGCGGTACGGAGTGCTGTTGGACTTGCCGGAGCTCACCTTCCCGCAGCTGGAGAGATACCTGCAGGACACATCCTCAGGTGAGGGCCCGCGAGACACCCAGCTGCTGAACGGCGGAGGAGGAGAGACTTGAACCGTTGATGATACCGTGCTAACATGCTAGCAGCTACGTTAGCTCAGTTGTGTGTTATTGTGTGGTTTTCTAACCTTAAATGTAACTCAACCGCGTCTCGGAGCCGTTACTCGAAGCAGGAAACGCGTCTGTACGTAAATAAAACGATTATTCAGGTGTGAACGCACCGAATTACTTGAGGTTTTCGCTCACTTTTGCAGCTTTTTGAAATGGGGCTTAATTGTTTCTCCTCCAGCCTTTTATCTGCCGTTTGTAACACAACACAAGACAAGATCTGTGTGTCGATAGTAGTTATGTTGAGGGGGTGAAAGATGGCGATCGTTCGTGCAACACGTCGTGGAGTTTGGTATTTAATTAGCGAGGATGTCATCATCTCTGGCGGGCACGCTATTGTGCACTTTATTAACAGTTAAAATATTTTGTGCCATGTAGTGGTTTTGCACAGCTTCCGTTAAGCCACCGGGTGATGGTGACGACTTCCGGTGGAAGCTTTCAAAATAAAGATAAAATAAGATAATAAATTCACTAAATATATAAAAAAAATTATGGAATAATATAAAATGTATATGTATATAAGTGTATATATTTAAAATGGGAAATAGTTGAAATAATCTGTCTTTGGAAAAATACCTTAAAGTGGATTTTTCAGCTCAACTTTATGAAGCTACAGTTGTGGTAGGCCTACTTACATTTAATGCATGACCAAATTACTTCTAGATGTGACAAAACTATATTAATACTATGCAGAAACAAAATTTGGTTGCAAGAATATGTAAACTTATGGAGATATTAATGTTTGAAAATGAAAGATTCTTCGTTCGGCTAAAATATATATATATTTTCATTGATTACTGTCAAACATTACTAACTATTTACATGAAAACATGTTGCACATTATGCTTAACGTTTCTTGGATGTTCGGTACAAGTTTCACCCCAATCTAGTGAGAAATGAGTAATGAGTGAAGCTTACAAACTTCATAAAGTCATTACTAAAACAGTATTTTGAGTAGAGCTGTAACATAAGTTTAATAACTTTCTGAACATCGGCTTCAGATTGAGTTTAGATATCTGGATTTATTATTTATTATGTCTTAATGCTCTTTTTCCAAAAGCTTTTAAGATCAGTTACTTGTGAAAAGTATAAAAACTGTGAAGTTGAGTCCAAATGCATTTAGAATCAAATCATAGAACAACGTGAATATGAATAAAGTTAAGAGTGCTCATCAGGATGCTGGTGTTCAAGTTGTTAGTTTAATAATAAAAACAATATTTCAGGAGGTTTACGGTTGTGAAATCTGCGGTTATGTGTGTTGTAAATCAGCATTTTATTAACAATTAACAGCTGCTGATTACTGATTTCCTGTGTGTGTAACTGGAGCTACTTTATATTTAAAATGTGTTTAAACTTAATAACCGCAAAGTGTCTGTAATCTCTCCTCAGTTCCAAAGCTGCTCGTCGATCTTCACGTCAAGCTTTTGAGGAAGATCGGCAAGTCTGTGTCAGCCGACCGCTGGGAGAAGTATTTAGTGAAGGTAAGTGAATAACTTTGAGCTTTTATGTTCATTTTAACATGATACACGTGTATGAAAGTAAAGTAGAACAACAGTTTGGGGGGGGAGTCATATTTTTGGCGGATTGGTACAAAAATAAAAACACCAAACTGAAAGAAACCATAAACAAACATCTGATATATTTTCACTGTTTATAAAGAAAACGACTCTGTTCACACATCCAGCCGCTCATTTAGTCGTGTCTTTTGTTCACCGGATGAAGTTAAAGGGACAGTTTGTAGGATTTCAGGGATCTATTTGTGAGAAATGTAATATAATATTCATAACTGTGTTTTCATTCGTGTATAATCTCCTTAAACTAAGAGTCATGGTGTTTTCTTTAGCTTAGAATGAGCCCTTCATATCTACGTAAATCAAAACAATTGGCTGAAACCGAGCAGACGAGCAGAAAACCAAAGAATTTTTTCAGATGTGATGTTTGTTCACGTCTGATTTAAATCTCTGTTTCTTTACAGATATGTCAAGAGTTCAACACAACGTGGGCGTGGGAACTCGAACAACACGGGTACAAGGAGCTGTCGACGGAGTGCAAGACGGGGATCCTTAAAGTAAGGGCGCTGGTTTTTATTCTGCTTCTGCTTTTTTCGAATATTTTTCCTTTTTAACTGCAGATTTAAATATGAGAGAAAGAAGCCGTGGTTTAGCTTCTGGAAGTAGGAAATGGACCAGAGCCACAGCAGCGCTGACGATGTTTTACATGCTCACTAATACTCCACTTATATGACAATATTCTGAATTCAATACTGGTGAATATAAACAGCATATACCGATTACCACATGTGGTTCATGCCGATGTTATTCTGCTTTGAGAAGCGTTCTTTGGACACATGTACAGCGTATTAGTTATGCGTCTATATTAAGGTTTTTACTCGCCTGTTAGCCCGAAGCTCTGCCGCCTGAATGTGTTGGAGTCTGTTGAAGAAAACCGTTTGGTTAAAAAACATTTTATGTCTGAAGAGACAAAGGGTTGTATCCAAGACTCGATGCTACGTTTCCCTTTTTCATTTTTAACTGGGCTGCTCCGTGTGCGACGATCTCTCCAGCAAAATAACTGTGAATCCTCTGGTTAGTTAGATTTTAAACCACTAAAGATAATTATGAGTCTCAGTGACGGATGTTGTTGTATTTCTTTCTGCCAGTATTTGTGCGAGTGTCAGTTTGACGAAAATGTCAAGTTCAAAACCGCCATCAACGAGGAGGAGCCGGACAAGATGCGCCTGCAGCCGATCGGCCGGGACAAAGACGGTCAGATGTACTGGTTCCAGCTGGACCAGGACGACAACGTGAGAGTTTACCTGGAGGAGCAGGACGACCTGGACGGGTCCTCCTGGAAATGCATCGTCAAGTAAGCAACAAATACGCTGTCCATGAAGTGATCTTTAAGAGGTTTCTATAAAGGTGGAGTACTTTAAGAAGTGATGACATGTTTCCTCTCTGTTCTTCCTGTAGAGATAGAAACGACTTGGCCGAGGTTCTGGCTCTGCTGAAGACACAAATCGACCCCGAGCTGTTAAAGAGAGATCAAGAAAACAAACCTGAGAGTGAGGAGAAGACTTTTACACTACACTTGTTTACAGATTTCTAGTTTTGTTAAAACAACTGCGACTGCTTTCTGAATACTGAAAAAGTAACTCTGAACTATGGCAGAAATATAAAAGTTCTCACATGAAACTGCTCACGACAAAGTCTGTGGATTACCTTCAGTAACCAGGTCATGACCTCTGGAAAGAGACGTTGATGTTGAGATTTTTAGATGTCTTGATTTTGGTGCTTTAAAGAACCACAAGCCGAGTGAAATATAGTCCAATTATATTAGAGATAAAGCAAACATCTCTACGTCCGACGTCTCTAAGACTAGGCAGCTCACACCAAAGCAATCTAGATCGATGAATAGCTCTACGGGTAAGAACATTTTAGGGTGAACTGTCCCTTTATGAATGAAACAACTCTAACAAACCAACACACACTTCACCACTGTATACAACTATTTGAGACCAAACATTCAAACCATATCAAAGAATCCAGTCTCTATTATTTAAAAGCAGTCGTGTGATTTTGTTTCATATGTACGTTACAGGTGAAGTTAAAAAGGCCGAGGACACATCGGATGAAGACAGCAAAGACTCCACCAAGGCCGTCGGTCCGGTCTCACCAAAGACGGAGAATAACGAGAAAGTAACGCAGAAAGACGACTTAAAATCAGAAACTTCCGACGACAAATTGTCTGTGAATGGCGTCATCGAAGGTAAAAGCGAAGCGGAGCTCAGTTCAGAAAATCCTGCGGAGGATCTCGATGTCGGTTCGAAAGCCCCGAGCATCAAAGAAGAGCCGATGGAGGTGTCGGACGCTAAAGAAGAGCCGATGGAGGTGTCGGACGCTAAAACGAGCTCGGTGACAACAAGCGAACCCGTCTCTGAGACGCCGGGTGTGTCGGTAAAAGCAGAAAAGGCCGACGAGGCCAAGAAGAGCAGCGCGGAGGAGATTCAACAAGCGCTGAACGACCAACAGGCCAAAATCCCTCTGAAAAAGAGAGGGATGAAGTTCACTGAAGACTTTGAAAAGAATAGCGGCATCATAGTGCAAAACACGGCGGTTTCTCAGGTCAAAGAAGCTCCTAAAGCGGACCCGACTCCCGAACAGCCTAAGAAAGCGCAGATTTTAAATATTAATGGAGAAGTTCAGCCTGTGTCAGAGAAAGTTCTCCAGAGTCATTCGCCAGAAAAAGACGTCGACAAAGAGCCGACGACTGAAGCGGCTGCTGGTAAATCTGTAGAAAAGAGAGAAAAGGACTCTGAAATCACAGAGGAGGACGCAAAGGGTAAAAAGGATGATGCTCGCAGTGCAGAGAAGCTCTCAGTCGCATCGAACAAAGAAGACTCGGGCCAAAATAATCTAGATGTGCAGGTAGAACAGGAAAGCTCTGCACCGAAAGGAAGGAAAGCGTCTCCAAAAGAACCGTCGCCTTTACCTAAAGACGTAAACAATGCAGCGGAGAAGCCGTCCAATCATGAAGAGCAAGACAAAATAAGAGAAACTACAAAAGACTCTTGTACAACTGACAAGGCATCAAATAAAACCGGAGAGTCAGAGAAAGTCAAATGCAAAGAAGTTGAGTCAAAAGATTCAGAGGAGAAATCATCGCAGTCGAGTAAGACTAAAGAAAATGTAACAGCGGCGAAGCAAACGGAAACGAGTGACGCTAAAGAAACGGCGGCACGTGAGACTAATGCAGAGAAATCTACGGCTAAAGAAAAGCCAGGAGTCATCAAAACAGACAAGGACACCGCAAAGAAATCTGCTGACTCACCGTCCGTCATTAAAATGGTTACCGGTGATAACTCAGAAGGAAAATTCAACGCTGAAGAGAGCGTTGGGTCTTCTGTTATTAAGAAGTTAGACGCATCGTGTAAACCTGTGGAGAAGCAACGCGACGTCAAAGAGGCGGAGAAGCAACGCGACGTCAAAGAGGCGGAGAAGCAACGCGACGTCAAAGAGGCGGAGAAGCAACGCGGCGTCAAAGAGGCGGAGAAGAAGATGGAGAAAGCCGGTGCATCCTCAGAGACTATCGCTGGAGAGACGGAGATGACAGAGAAGAGTAAAAAGCCTGAAGGTGTAACGAAGATGGTCAACTGTGAAGCTGTTAAACACCATTTAAAGCCACAAGAAGACAAAGCTGAGGGTAACTCGGCTGCACGTAGGACAGAGGAAGCTTCTGTAAGGAAAGATAAACCATCCAGCGCTGTTGAGAGGACACCCGTCTCTAAAGAAAGTGATAAAAAGACAGAAAGACCAGAAACCGAACAGGAAACAAAAAATACAGAAGCAGAGCGTCCGTCATCAGAGAGGATGAAGGACACAGACAAGGAACAGAAGGACACAGACATTAACAAGAAAAAGGACACAGACATTAACAAGAAAAAGGACACAGACAAGGAACAGAAGGACACAGACATTAACAAGAAAAAGGACACAGACAAGGAACAGAAGGACACAGACATTGAAAATCAAAAGGATTCCACCACGGATAAACTTTCAAAAACAGATGAAACAGAAGAGAACAAACGTGCTCATAAAGAGAGCGAAACATCGACCAAATTGGAGAAATCCGGTTCCCAAAGTGTGAGCAAAGAACTCGACGGCAAATCCTCAACTGAAACGGAGAAAGACGGTCCAGACAAAGAACCGGCTGACGAGGACGGTAAAAGCAAAAGTGAAGAAGAGTCTGCAGCAAAGAAAGAGGTGAGGAACGGTGGAGGAACTCTGACTTCCTGTCGGAGAATCAAGCCCCGAGGCCACCGAAGGAAAGCTGCGCTTCAGAGAGACGAGAGACAAGACTCGGAGTCAGACACCAACACGGGGAGATCTCTCCGGAGATCACCGAGGATCTCCAGACCGACGCCGAAGGCCGTGGAGATCCATGACAGGAAGGTGGAGAAGTCTCAAGCCGAGAAGAACGAAGACGACAAGGGTGAGAAGGAAGAAGAAGAAGAGGAGGAGGAGGAGGAGGAGGAGGAGGAACAGGAGGAGGAGGAGGAAGAGGAGGTGAAAGCTGTTCAAAGGAAACCAAGAGAGAAAAAGGTTGATCAGGAGGGTCAGCCCAAACCTAAGGTAAGACTATCTACGTCTGTTATGAAAGTTTCATCAAATAGAAGGAATGCTCTGGTGTTTGCATGCAATTCATTGCAGTAAAAGGATCAAACAAGATGCCGAAATAACCACATAATGATTCCCACTGTAAACAAAAGTCTTGTTTTGTGAGGTTTGTCCACAAGACGTCGAGCAAAGAACATTTAAAATTCATGTTTTCTGGATGGAGTTTGGCTCAATCCCGGCTAAGATTCGGTGAAAATGTCCCCATGTTTGAATACAAATTCAGCCTTAACTTCCCAAAACATGCAGCCATGTTTAGCATTTTGAACTGAAGCCAATGGGCCCCTGGAAGGTGAAACAAAAAAGCATTTAAAAATGACAGACACCTTCTTCATTTCCTGAGCTGTCCTTCAAAGTCACCACGCTGTGCTTCTTTAAGGGGAGAAAGAGACGGAGGGTTCGGTGGTCCAACACGCGAACGCGCCGTAAAAAGAAAGGCTCCGAGGACGACAACAGCTCCGAAGAGTCCAGCGAGGGGGAGAGCGAGGACGACAGCGACGAAGACTTCAAGGTGGAGCGAAGCAGGAAGCGGCGTAACCGTAACCGAGAAAGACGAAGCTCGGACTCCTCGACGTCCTCGGACGACGACCTACCTCCCAACGACGACCCGTGCAAACACTGTGGTCTTCCAAATCACCCTGAGCTGGTGGGTCGTCATTCATGTACCAACCTGTGTTTACATTCATTTATCAAGTAACCAGATTAATAAAGGAAACAGGCAGAAAGGAAAGAGGGAGATAGAAGAGACAGAAGACTTATAGAACTAGGACAAAAATATCAGCATGAATGAAGATGTAGTTTGGTGGTTTTATTGATTGATTGATTGATTTTTTCCAGATCTTGCTGTGTGACTCGTGTGACAGCGGCTACCACACCGCCTGCCTGAGGCCTCCGCTCATGATCATCCCCGACGGAGAGTGGTTCTGTTCACCCTGTCAACACGTACGCACCAGTCAGAGCACCACATATTAAAGAGATTATACAGAAATACAGAAACATGTTGTAATGTTTCCCCTCGTTAATCCTCTCTGCAGAAGCTGCTCTGCGACAAACTAGAAGAGCAGCTCACAAACCTCGACGCTGCTTTGAAAAAGAAGGAACGGGCCGAGAGGAGGTGAGACATTTATTTATTTACCTTACTCATTCTGTTCTATTCACTGGTGTCTGTGTTTATAATTATTAGGTTTTAATATTTATTTTTCTTATTCTTCTGTTGTAATCTTTGATCAAACTCTGGCACAAGACTTTTGTTCAGGATTAATAAAGTTCTATCTTATCTTTTATTATGAAATTTCAGCTCCTTCACCGTAAAAGCTTTTCAGTGCTGCCAACATTTGAACACCAACACACATGCTACATTTAGTGACATGTATTGTTTTGTTTATTTTCCATATTGCACCTAATTGACATTGAAACCTGTCTTAATGTTTATTATCTCCTCCAGGAAAGAGCGTCTCATTTACGTTGGAATCAGCCTTGAAAACATCATCACGCCCTCAGTAAGTGCATCATGTCTGTTCCTTGTCTGTGTCCTTTTTCTGTATCCTTGTCTGTGTCCTTTTTCTGTGTCCTTGTCTGTGTCCTTTTTCTGTGTCCCTTTTCTGTATCTTTGTCTGTGTCCCTTTTCTGTATCCTTGTCTGTGTCCCTTTTCTGTATCCTTGTCTGTGTCCCTTTTCTGTATCCTTGTCTGT